ATGGACTTCCTTGCTGAAAATAGCAACAGCCACCAAGTGCCTCATTTACTTTTGTAACTAAAAGTCATCCAAACCACAATACTGCATGCCTTCCCTCATTCCCATCTTGCTGTCAACTTATTTCTAGGTGGTAAATTGTGTGTGTGTGTGTGTGTGTGTGTTAATCCTCACCCAAGGATATTTTTTCTAATTGATTTTTAAAGAGAATGGAAGGAAAGGGGAGAGAAAGAGAGAGAGAGAAACATCGATGTGAGAGAGATACATGCATTGGTTGACTCCTAAATGCACCCTAACTGGGTCCAGGGATCAAACCTGTCACCTAGATACGTGCCCTTGACTGGAATCGAACCTGTGACCCTTCAGTCCATGGGCTAACATTCTGACCACTGAGCAACAGGCCAGGGTGATACTAAGTGGTCTTAATCATTCATAGGAAAAATTATAATTGTTTTATGACCTTTGCAATTTTTTCAACATTAAAAACTCTCCTGTCAGTTATAAATTTATAGAGAATTTTTTAATGGTAAAGCCAATATTTATTTAGTACACTGTAATTTAAAATATTAGCAAGATTGAGCATTAAAGTGTTTTCTTTGTAAAAAAAAAAAATTATCAAGAGTAGTTTGGACAGTGCTTTGCGTCTTCTTATATAACTTACAATGTGGAGCAAGCATCTTTTCTGTCTTGGTAAATGATCATACTTCTTTATAAGTTTGTATCAATTTCCAACATTTTGTCTTTTGCATTTTCATTATATGTAGTGAATCTCTGTGTACCTCTCAGAGTTCCTTTTACGTGAAGTTTCTTGCCAGCATCACTTTTCTAGAATATCTTCATTCTTTTCAACACAACTGCTTTGTTCATCCATGTAGATATTTTGCCTTTACTTAGTTCTTCTGACTGTAGCACTGCCAGCATTCTCATGATCTGCTGTTTTTTCTATAACTCTAGTAGCAAGTTTGTATTTTATGCAATTGCTCATAGTTAATGTATAACTGGTTACTGAAATTTGAGTTATATTGTGTTATTTAAGCTATGGAACCTTGAGTTTGTGCATATTGGAACTGTGCAAAGCAAGGACTGCCTGTATTTTGCACTTAGAGTAGACTATCACTTTCAGGTAGTGAGTTTAGATCAGTCTCAGACTTGCCACTATCTCTCCTCCTCTCACTTCCTCACTGTTTTTCAGATTGCCCTTGCTCTCTGCAAAAGTGTCAGGAGTGGGAGAGATGACTTGCTAGGATTTTGATGTTCCTATTTCTATAGATAGGTCATTTGAAGCTTGAACATGTCTTTAAAACAAAAACTTAGCTTTGCTAAGGTTTTATTTTTATATAGTTGTATTGTTTTGATTTTGTAGGATATAGGGAGATTAAATTTTAGGAAGGCATCACTATCTAAAAGCCTTGAAATAATTTTATTTTGTGTTTATAATGATTTTTGAGTATAAAATCTTTACATTTTTCTTATGCTCATATATTTTTGCAAGTGGGAGAGGAGTAAGAGTTGGGTCTTTTTATTGGGTAGAAATTGTATATGTGGGTGCCATCTTTGAATAATCTATTTTCAGAATGTGCCTAATGTATACATTTAGTAATTTGGTGGTGTTAATAAGACAAAAGCAGGTACTTGAAAATGCCTACATCTATTATTTGTGAAAAGAATGCATAGTTTGGAAGACATAAAGGAGACAGAAAAATAACATGACAACTTATTTATTATTATTTCCCTATTAAACCAAATAATGTTTTTCTTTTTCAGTCCTATGACAATGGGTTGGCACAGGGAGCTGGACTTGAATCTCATGGTAAGGCATCTTAAAATAAATGAACATGTAGTTTCTTTTGTTTCTTCAAATAACGTCATGGTATCTTCAACATGGAGGACCTCAGAAGTTTGTCTCAGCTCTTGGTGCAGCCTCACCATCTTCCTTCCTACTTCTTTCTTTTGACACTGTTGTGCCACTTTCAACCTCTTCTAGGTCAGTAATCATTTATAAATTACTCAGACCAGAATTTTCATTAAAATATTTTGGGGTGATTTTTTAAGATACTGTTAGAAAATAGCAAGTTTTCTTCTTTGGCATAACATTAGAAAGGTAGGTGCAGGCTATTAAACATGAATCAGTGAATTTGTGAAGAAATGAAAGATTTTTATTTACCTTCTTTAATATAATTATCCTAAGTCATAGTCATAAAACATTTTGCCTCATAACATATGTTCAATATATACATTGATATAATCTCTCCTTCCACATTTTTTCCGACTTTTGGCAGAAGCAGAATGGAGAGATAATAGTCGCTTAGTTTGTCAGCACATCAGTAGTCTGAACTCTTTCAGACTGAGTATTTCCACATGGAAGCAAATAAGTTTCCATGCTCCTTTTTAAAAAAAGAAAGAGGCTAAATCAAGCAGACTCTTTGAGTGAACTCCTGTTTCCTCTTCATCACAGCATTTATTTTTGTGCTCACCTGTTGTATCCATCCCTCTACCAGCGTGATACAGTGGAAAGAACAGGTCAGTTTTCAGGTCTCATCCTTGACACCAGCTGTGTGATCTTGGCTGCTCACTTAGTATCTCTCAGGGTTTCCTCATCAACAGAGTATAAATAATTATCTTTTTATTTTATTACTAGGATTATATGAGGTAAAGTAGGTTGTAAACTATAAAACATGTATAAAAATATTTTTTTAAATATATATTCCTCGATCCCATATCCTTGTACTTTCCCTGGAACCTTGTCCTATCGGGTATCTTTTCCCCTCTCTCACATCTTTACTCCCTCTTTGATATAGGTATTTGTAGTGTGTGTCACTAGAACTGTATAGAAGACTGTCTTGGATTTTCCTCTGAGGCCATATTGTAATTAGGACTCCATAATTCTTGTGTGTGCCTGAGTCTGTATGAGATTGGAGTGGGGCAAGCTAGCAGCAGCAGTTATGTCACTGGTCATCACTACTTGGTAAGGAAGGATATACTTACAGCCCAAATAGGAAATCTGGCATCTATAAGAATTTCTGAAAAAAGGAGACATATATACTACTGTCTGTAATACTTTAAACAATAAAATAAAATTTAAAAAAAAGAATTTCTGAAAAGATAGGGTCTGGTAATCATTATTATAAAGGTTGTTAATGGGCACTCTAGCTGAGAAGACACCTTACCAGTATAGGAGACCTGTGGGACAGACACTATTCCCAAGAAATTGAGATTACATTCTGTGAATGTGAAACAGAGAAGGGTCCTGTCAGGGAAAAAAATTTTGCTGAGTCATACAAGTAGTGATTTTGAGTCAGTACGATTTGCCTAGGATTGTACCCATCAAGATCATCAATGACTGTGATTCATGCCAAGAAGCTTACATCCTTCTTCTAGCTCTAAATTCACCATGGTAGGTTTGAGGCCTAAAGCCTAGAGGAGAGCTTCCTAATCGCATGCTACAGAACCATAAATGGGTTCTTGGTGTGCCAGGCTATTGCTCTATTAGCCTTTGTGGCAGCCAAGAAGCCCTGGGTATCTGGAGCCTCTGGTAAGATGGCCTTTGGCTCGGAGCACCCTCCTCAGGACACCTCAGGATGTTCCTACAAATATCAGATACTCTTGTTCTTTTTGTGCTCTGAAGTTAGATAGGCTGAGAAGTACTATTCTAGACAGCCTTCCTTCCCTGTCTCATTTTATCACTATCTATAGTGGTAAGTAAAACCTCTTCCTAAATAGTAGTCCTGCAATTTGGTCTCTCTGCAAAGACCTTGTATACTCCCTTTTTCTTCTTTCTATTGTTAATCTTTTTTTTTTTTTTTGAAATTATAAGGGAAAGTTTATTTAGAAAATGACAGGTGTAGAGAAGTGAGACAGCTGGGCTGCGTAGGCTCAGGAAACAAGTTACAAGGGTAAAAGACAAGCCGTTGGAGCTTAGAGAGAAAGGCAAAGGTAACGCCTGGGGAAAAGTAGGTGGAAACAGAAAGGCGTGGGTGTGCTCCCTAGAGGGAGAGGGAGCTCTTTCTATTGTTAATCTTTTTAGAATAGTGATCCAAATATACCATTTGCCTTTCTAGAAAAATGGCTTGTTCTTTAATGTTCTGTGTAAGGCTTCAGTAACTTAGGAAGTTTCTCTTTTAAAGTTATGAGTTGTCTTTATCTCAAATCCAGTGTTTCTTTCTCATTCCTTATCTTTATTGAAGCTATTAACCTCTGCCCCCTCTTTCTTGAAATATCACATTCTTTTTGTCCTGCTTCCTGACAAGTTGTTTCTGGCTCCTTCACCATTTTGTTTCTTCCTCTGATCTCTTTACCTCGGCCCAACTTCCTTCTTTCTAAATCTCAGGATTCTTGTACTTGCTGGTTTTTTTTAAAGATTCCTCCAACCTCAGCCCTCGCATACACCTGGCTTTATTTCACATCCTTTAGGTTTGGGTTCATATGATATTTTTGGATAAGCCAAACCACCAACATACTGCCTTATTTAGAATCACATATCAACCACATAGTCATACCCTACCCCTTTCTGGCTTTTTCTGCATATCACTTTTTTATATTTTAGCTATTTGTTCACTGTCTCCTCACATAATATAAGCCTCATGAGAATAGAGATTTGGGCCTGTTCTATTCACTGTTGTATCCCCACACCTATAACATGTGTGGCACACAGTTGATTGAACCAACAGATGGTTGTTTATCAATCATCCCTGTGTTGATGGCATCCAAACTATGTTTCCAAACATGTGCTATTGCTTTTCAGCTGCATAACCCCCATTCGGTCTCTTCAGCATCCCAAGCTGCACATGTTTAAACCATTCTTCTCCTCTTCTTCCCAAACCTGTCCTTGTTATTCAGGAATGTGAAATTGCTACTACCAGAGAAGCCAGAAATCCAGAATGTTGGGTGTGTAATCTCTTGTTCTGTCATTAGTTTTTTGTAATTTGCTAGTCACACCAGTTGTCCCACATAAGTTACCAGTTTATAATGTTTGGTTTGCAGACTAAAAGGAAAATATATTTTTTTTTATTAACTGCTACTCTGTGCCATTTAGTATCATTTAATCCTGACACCAGCCCTCTAAGAGTAGTCATCTTTGTATTAGATTCAGAAAGGCAAAACTGTATTGATATGAAAGAATAAGGATTTATATTAAGAATAAGATTTTACATCAGTGAAGA